TTCTATTTTCATAAAACATGCAATTGTCATTATTATTTTCAAAATTAGCTAGAAAAAGAAAAGCATGATCCTCTTTTATTTATTTATTTAATATTCTTTTTACTAACTGATTTAAAAATTACATACGAAATGTATCAAGTAATTTCAAAATAAACTAAGGGGGTTTCGTTTGAGTTTTTTACCTCATTATCGAGAGTCACCAAAGCGAAGTTTATCGTTTCATCTTCATCGATTTGTGCTTCATCTTCAAATAAAGTCGATTTGTTCCAAGTCGCCTTGAGTGCTCTCTTCTTCTTTGGCAATTTCTTTTTAAGTTCATTTTTAGTATTTAATTTTTGTTTAATAAACCTTTTGAATTTTATAGTGAGAAGTTTGAGTTCATCATCACTTGAGATTTCGCTCGAGTGGTCTTTATTTGTTCTAAGTGTCAAATCTTTCCTATTCTTTGGAAGGTTGTTCTCATATTCATCATACACCTTGTATGTCATTTCATATGTCATTAATGACCCGATAAGTTCTTCAAGAGGGAAATAGTTCAAGTTTTTTTATTCTTGAATAGCCGTTACTTTCGAATTCTAATTTTTAGAAAGTGATCGTAAAACTTTATTCACAAGTTTAAGATTCGAAAAACTTTTACCAAGAGCTTTTAAACTATTGATGACATCCGTAAAATAGGTGTACATATCTCCAATATTCTCACTTGGTTCCATCCGAAATAATTTAAAATCATGTATTAAAATATTAATTTTTGAATCTTTAACTTTAATAGTGTCTTTGTGTGTGATTTCTAAGTGTATGTCAAATATCAAAAGCTGTTTCACAAATAGACACTCGATTGAACTTATTTTTATCTAAAGTATAAAATAATGCATTCATAGCCTTTGCATTTAAGGAGAAAGTCTTCTTCTCCAACTCATTCCAATCATTTATTGGAAGAGAAGACTTTTGAAAATTATTTTTAATAATATTTTATAAATTTAAATATAAAGAAAGCAAGAAAACTCTCAATCGAGTTTTCCAATATGTGTAGTTCGTCACATTGAACATGGAGGATAAATGAGTGACTCTCTTGAAAGCTGAAAAGAGTCATTTCTCTTGGGTATTAAACCAAGCGAGAAATAACATGGCTCTAATACCAAGTGCTAGGAATAAGTCGACAATAAGAGGGAGGGGGGGGGAGGGGGAATTAATGTAGCAGACAAAAACATTGTCGGTTCAAAAATCTTCATTTCGATTAAACCTGTTTCAGAAAGATATTAAACTTGAAAGCATTCGTAAGAGTGTAATGAGAAAGTAAAGCAAGAGAGTATATTTGTGCTAAGGTAAATTGCACAAATAGAAATGCAAACCAGATTTTTATAGTGGTTCGGTCGTCGTGACCTACATCCACTCTTCCAATTCCTCTTCTGTCGAGGCCACCTGCATCCACTAATGATCTTCTTTTAATGGGCGAAGATCAACTACCCTTTTACACTCTTTCTCCTTTTCACGAGTTTAGGAGACAACCCTTACAACCTCTTTTTCTTAGATCTCACTTCTCCTTTTAGAAGAACTTTCTAAATACTAGGAAGAAGGGACTCTAAATCCTAAGAGAGTTTCTAATTTTTCTTTTCTCCTTTTTCAACTCAATTTTATGCTCAATTCTTGCTACTCCATGTAGGAATAACTGGGGTATTTATAGACCCTAAATGATTTCAAAATTAGAGCAAAAAAAGGTCTCATCCCGGGTTTCCCGAGTCTTGACGGTACCACCGCATGTGTTGGGCGATACCATCGCTTACAACACTAACACTAGGTGGTACCACCGCCTAATTTGGTAGTACCACTGCTTGGGAGACTATGTCTGGGTGGTACTACTGCCTAACAGTCTCAGAGACTGAGTTTGGGCGGTACCACTGCTTGACATAGTCTCGAAGACTATGCCACGACAGTGCCATATGTTGGGTCACCATTTGGGCCTTTCACTTGGCCCAACACAGCCCAAACTTGGGCCTAGTTAGCCCCTAATTGAGTTGGTCTAATTACATTCTAAACCGACTCAATTAGACTCTAAACTAACTTAATCTAGATAAAATCAATCATAAGTGAATCCTATGTTGTTCGGCATGTCATTGGTTCTTTCGGCGCTTCGTCCGATCCTTTAGCACATCGTCCTCTCCTTTGGCGTATTGCCTAATCAGCATGTTGTCTTCTCGCAATATTTGACCTCCTTAGTGCAATATCCAATCTTCTTGGCCTGATGCCCGAATTCACGGACCGAAGTCTTCTGTCGACACGTCGATCGATCCTTCGACCCGACGTCCAATCTTCTAACATATTTGCTCCGGTCCAACGTCTGATTCCTCCTGCTTTAATCGATTTATCTTTTTTAATCGAAGCTAGTCCTGCGTCACTTAAATGCACATTAGATGACAAACTTATCAATTGATTTCATCATCAAAATTCGAGATTCAACATATGACACGAAAAGAAAATATGAGAAAATAACAATTAGCATATGGCCTACTTAACGATAATGATATTTCAAAGCTAAAAAGAGAACTTCTAAATGCCACTCATAATTTCCAAGCATCCGTCCAATTAGATAGTTCTCTTCTTGAGGGTTCAATCTCATGATTAAATAGAACTAGGCACTACTTCCTGTGGTATTTTTAGATGTGCTAAGTGTTCAAGTCCATTTGTCATTATTGGAGTAGAGAGAGTACATAGCTCGAATCATGTTAATCGGAGAAGAATGAAACATAATTAAAATTGAAGGAATACACCAGGAGCCATCCATAATAAGACCAAAAGAAAAATGATGCATAGCATGAACACTAATATCTTATGTCATTTTAGAGAAAGGGTTATTGTTAAGCCACTGGTCTTCCCAACATGAAATGGAGGGCCTAGTGCCAATAAATCTTTCACCTTTTAATGATTGGGTTAGGCTAAAGGGAACGAGCAGCCTTGGAAGTTTTGTTCTCTCGAGGCTCTAGTGAGTCATACTTAAAAGTGAAGATCTTAACTTAAATATAATCCTCTTTATTGAGGATCTGTGTGATTATTTTGGCATAAATAGTCTTTTCGATAATGATATGACCCATAATGTCGAGAACACTAGAGATTTTAGGTGAATGAGATGCATGCTATGTTGTTGTAATTGCAGGAGAAATTTCACATAAGAGAGAAGATTTTATTTAAGTTTTTATCAAAGATCCAATAATTTAAAAGGATATGAGTATCTAGAGAATTAATGACAAAATTGATGGGCATAATTTTCCTCGCTTAGGAGAGGAGCCCTTTGTACTAATCTTGAATCTTATCTAAAGTTTTATCAACTAGTATATGTTGAAAATGATCCCTGTACCAAAGTATTTAAATGGTCACACACCCTCCTGATAGCCAAGGATGAGCAAATATTATATTTGGCAGAGGCAGAGTAGTATTTTGGGAAGTAGATGTTAGATTTGTCAATGTTAGTTTTAAGGTTAGTAAGATTTTTGAAAGTGTGCAGGATCTTTTGAATAAGAGAACAAGACTAATGGTTGGCCTAAAAGCTAAGAGCAAATAATCAACGAAGATTAGGAGAGAAATTTTTATCATCCTAGTTATATTTCTAAAGGTCAAATAATATAAGAGATAAAATAATTTGTTGGACAAGAATAAAAAGATAAGATGATAGAGGGTTATCTTGTTTGACCCTCCTACATCCCATCAACTAAGCTAACTATTAATTGTTAATTAGGCAAAAGAATATAGGAGAGAGACAGAGACCATAATCCAATAATAAATTTAAAAGGAAGGTTCAATTTATGAAGGGTATTGTTGATGGTAGTGCAAGATATTGAGTTAAAGATTTTTTCTAAATTAAGTTTAAGAAGTACAAGAGAGTGTTTGTATTTGGAGTTGCTCGTGGAGTGAACCAACTTAGTGGCAATTTATCATGTATAGTTTTATCTTTTATGAAGATAGATTATTTATGATTCATAAGGAGGCTATATTAGATTTTAATCTATTGGCTTGATTCTCGACTAAAATTTTATAAAGGATATTATAAGAAATAATAAGACAAATGTTCTTAATAAAAAAAAGATTGAATCTCTTGGGGATGAACATTCAGTCAGATAGAAATAATAACAGTGGAGTAAAAGTTTAAGAATATCCCAGAAGTCGACATAGAATTATTTCGTAAAGCTGATAATTGTCTTGATCTCACTCACAAAGAATGGAGGGAAGACAAAAGTTTGGATGAAGTGGAAAGGTTGGTCCACAAGTTATTGCACCAATCAGCAAAATGAGCTAAAAATATTAGGAGTATCACTGAGTTCATGATCATCCTGAGTTTTGATATATGAATCAATGACAATCTTAAAGCATTTTTATCTCTTATTATTATGTTTCATTCAATTTTGGCATGGTCGACCATTTAAGCTGAAGTTGTTTGTTGAGGGTAACAATCTAATTGTAATTGCAGTCGAGGATAAGGTCAATGTTACTATACTTACTTGATTTGACCTGATTTGATTGTTGAGTCTATCGAGAGAAGGATAAAAGTTCGATTGGTAGAATCCACCATCCAAGTCAAAGGATAAAAAAGTTCCTAACAAAGTCAACGAACACTTCATTTTTTAAGATTCTATCTTGATATTAAGAATATTAAGGTTGGCGCGTCCTCTCCTTGGAATGTGATCGATTTTAATGACGAGGGAGGAGTGGTCTCATGCTATTATGCACAATAGACGAGAGACACTACTGAGGTTGAAAACAAAATCCCAGAGGTTATTTATACAAGACTTTGTCTGAACGCACAGAAACTATCTTTTTCCAAACCAATTGATCCATAAAATGAAATAATTTCTGAAAAAAAAGGCATCGATAAAACTATTCCGAAAAATAAAATTACTGACTCGACGTGGCCATGTTACGTGACATGAGTCCGCCTAAAGAGCGTGTATTTGATCACGTGCATTGCACGTGACAATTTTCTCTTCCTCTACTGTTATTTTATTTTAGGGTTTGCTATATTTGCTTGAGGCCGACCAGTTCTGACATCGCCGACGTGAGAGAGATGGCGACGATGGCTTCGAAGCAGCGGTCGGCGGCAGCGACGTGGCTGCGGTGGTTCATCCTCTTCATCGGCGCCGTCGTCGTCGTGCAGGTTCTTATATATGTACATCCATCCATTCGATGCGCCTTCATCCGTCGCCTTCCCTCTCTATGTTTTCAGATTTTTCTTGAATCAATTCTTGGATTTTTCGCCTGGATGATCGGATTATCGGAACAGAAACCATCTATTCGTTGATTTCTACGGAAAGCCCCTCGTTCGTCTCACAACCTTGTTATTGCCTGTTTTCGATGGAACGAGATCAAGTGTCCATGAGCTGTTCTTTTCGATTTTCTACTGCTTTCTCTTATTGATCTGTTTGACAGTTTGTTGTTTGCTTGCGTCTCCACAAAGAAAGGAACCTCATGGTTTCCTCTTTTTCTTCTCTTAAGGCTCGTTTGCTTGCCTTGCATAGTATTTATTTGGGATTTTTTCCCACTTAATTGGCCTTGTGTTACACTTTTTCCGACTTACGTGCTATTTGGGAGCATATGCGTAGAGTAGATAATTTCGAGTTGGATACCCTTAGTGTAGATTGTAATGAGCGCTTGTGGGAGGTCCTCCGTTGAGTTCTCATTCGCTATTCAATTATTTGTCTCAGGCTAAAGCATCTAAAGATAGCCTAAAGGAAGTAACACACAAGGTCTACTTCGATGTCGAGATTGGTGGAAAACCCGCTGGTATGCATGTGACAGTTCATGCCCTATGAATCCCCGCAGTGTATTACTATTCACCATGATTATAGACAAAATTGAACCACTGTTGTTTCTGAGCTGATAATATTTGATTAAAGAAAGCTTTCTTTTGTTATCTGGATGAATATAATTACTTTTCCAAGGGCTATGTTGGTCCACCTTGCACCTATGTTTATGGCATGACCATGTGTTCTTATTTGCATATCGCATGTGGTACTTTGTAGTAGTATGTGTATGTTATCATCTATATTTCTTGTGTGATGTCGTTAGGGCCAAAGATTCTCCTAACGAGTAGCTGCAGACTGCTTCAAACTAAGTAAACGAAAGCTTTAGCTTTTTCCTGCTTCTTTCTGTTTATTCAGATTTCTTTTCTGGAAACCTGAAGGCAGCCCCTGGACATAGACATCATATATTTGTAGCTTGGCAAAAAAGATTAAGAATATTTGCGGAGCATTTATTACTAGTCAATGAAATTGCAGGTTGATCTGTCTTCAAGGGGTATAAGATGACCTATTATCAGGAAGATGCACCAGTCTAATGCATTTCTTAATGCATAATGTTGCCAAAGCATGATATACGTGAAAAACTAACCTTTAGCAATTGTCTTTTTTTTTTTCCAGAAATGTGCTTGCTGGATTTGTTCTGAATGACAAGTTATTCGGCTAGGATAATTAGAATTTAGGAAATTTAGCCTTTAGCATAAGGAGAAGGTTTATTTCCGCATAGAATGCTTATGCAATTTCTCTGAAATGGAGCTTTTGTATGTGGGCAGGAACTGTTTTGATGTTATCTTGAATGTTCTAGGTTATACTTACAAGTCTCACTTAGGTGTTGGAGGGTCATGGACTTATAAGAACTAGCAAGTCTTTTATCCCCATAGTGCCTTTTAGGATCCATCTTGGAAGGACAAAATCATACAGGCCATAACACAAAGTGCATAATATCTTGTGAACCTGTGTTCTGGTCACTGTGTTCAGATTGATGGCAAACATGTGCTTTATCAGTGGTCGAGATGCCGAGTTCAGAAACCTCATGCTTCAATTGGAAAACGTGTACATTTCAATTGGAAAACACATGCTTCAAACTTGTTTTCTTTTGTTGTTATCTTGCTGCGAGATTTGACTATGAATTGTAAAGTATTACTATTGATAGTAATTTTTATGTGATATTTAATTCCGCCAGGTCGCATTGTTATGGGTCTTTTCGGGAAAGCTGTGCCTAAGACAGCTGGTATGCATCTGTTAAATGTTAATTTTATTGGATTATTGTTTTGTTATGTTCATTTATCTTTCTTGTACTCTTTTTACCTTCTATCTACTATTATGTCTGTGATCTTGATATGAAATTATGTCACCTAACTTGTTTATTTCTGTATTTTTTTGGTTCTGCTGCTTCTACAGAAAACTTTCGAGCTCTATGCACAGGTATGCTTGCACTTTGTTTGTCATGCTTAAAGCTTTTCTTAATTGTTTTTATTGCTTACTTGTGGACTATTTTTTTAAACAAGGCAGTTTAAGTTAAGTTGTCTGAATGTCCTTGTTTTTTAATATTCTCTGATAAATTTTTGCTGAAAACAAAGAAACTTCTCTTCGTATTTGTCACCAAATATGAATGATAGGTTGTATTGTCATGGACTTAGCTAGTTTTGCCTAAGTCGTGCGGCATCCTTGCGTGTCCGTCTGCAAAGGTCAGCCTCCCCGAAACCTCCCATGGTCCCTTAGGACCTACAAAAGAGAAAACAGGTTAGAGAAAGTGTCTCTCTCGGGATCCATAAGCAAACATTTCAGAAAACATTTTATAGCCAATGCAAATTATAAACAAACTTTACAAGCTTTGAACGATTGCACAACAAAGGGTCAAAATGGTCCACTACAAATCGAATATCTCTCACAAGTGTTCACATGATACAACCTTTATTTACAAGCTTAAGACGACCACCAAACCCAACTAAAATGGTGCTATTAAGCCTTCAACCGTCCCTTTACTTGCTGTGCAAAGTATGAATAAACAAAAGACACGAATATACATAAGCATTACATCAAACATCCTGTTTAGAATTTTGTTCGTGACATTCTCCCCCACTTATTCCTTTGATGTCCTCGTCGAAGCCTTTGTCGAAACTGCAACTCCTCGCCTTTATTGAGTCTTCAATTTTTTGCTCTAACTGTAATGCGCCTCTTGGCTCTCAATTGCTCTCCGTTACTGTTGTTGAGTAGTTGAACTTTTGATCCGCCATGCTGCTTCAACTCGCTAATGACTTTGTCTTTAGTGTGGGGTTGGCTGAGTTGTGTTGATTCCTGTTAGTTTCTGCAGATCCTTCAAATGAAGGTAAAGGTCATCCTTACTATGCGCTAGTCTCTCAAATGCCTCATGCTACTTGAACTGCGTGGATGCTTGTTGGAGCTTTAACGAGCATCACCTCACAAACTTTTGAAGTTTTGAGTCCTTCCTCCACAAAATTTGTCCATCGACTCTTCTTTCACTTAGTTGTCACTTCCAAGTAGATTCGCATCACTTCTGCTTTTGATTGACATTCTGTTGGGAAATGAAACGGATAATCTACTCTCAGTAGCACTAATCACTATCGGTGAGGATTTGACAACTATTGTCTTCCATTATCTTCGAAGGGTCTTTGAACTTGTGCAGAGCTCCTCTGCTGGATAGATAAGAGAATTGGGGTACTCGGTTTCGCCCATTCTCTTAAGGGTTGAGAAAGCAAAGGTTATTTAACTTCGCCTACCTCCTCGAAGGTTGTACTCTATTTATCGAGCTTATTACTAGCCTTCGCCTATTTTTTGCTCATATTTCTGAAGTACTTGAAGTGTTTGCACTCCTTGTATTGAGTTAGTTACTGTAATTCACCTTTTTAATGCCATTGATCTTTTGGAATGTAGGAAGTTTTCACCCCAACTTGGAGTAAGTTTTTAATAGTTTTGGTCGCCCCTGGGATTGTACTGTCTTCTGCATCAACCTTGCTGCTTACTCTATTGAGTAACAAAGGTACAATACCGTGTACTGCCTATTTCGTTCCTTGGTCGTGCACTTTTGCACGACCTAAAATCCTCCACTTTCGACTATCTTGATGAGAAGCTCGTTGACATCGGTCTTACAAAGTTCCTTAGCCTCTGCTCTTCAACCTTGTCTTGGTACTTGGAGTTTGTCTCTGCATGCTCCACCTTCTTGGCCCCTTTCACGACCAAGCGCTCTCCTTCCATGAGAGCAAGGGATCGATGACTTCATGAAAGTCCCGCCTCTGCGGTACCATGGCGCTGCCATGCCCATGGCCCTACTATCCGTCATCTCGCATTTGCATCAATTTTCTTCACGATCGGTAGATCTACCTCTATTGCACTCCTTCGAGTCTACAACCATTTTAAGTAACGCTTGGTTTTGGGTACCTAAGTTCCTCTATACTCGTCGTCGCTTCCTCGCCCCTTTCGATCCCCTACTTCAAGACCTTTGTGTTCTCCAAGCAGTTCCCCTTGGTCGATGGAAAGACATACTATAACTCCCATGTATGACCTCTGCCATCATGTTGCAGGGTTCGCACTGATTCTATTATCCTTAGCTTCCTTGGTAGCAACGTTCGCTTACTCGGCCTTGACCTCTGACTTACCGAGCTCCCTTAAGCGAATGTGAGCTCTGGGGCAGTCTAACTCTCCAGCTACTTTGATCATACCTCTGCATGATCAAGTCCCTCCCATGGGACTCACTGGTATTTGCATTTGAACTTTTCCTTCGGTGGTACACAGCCCCCATATGTTGATGACCAAGGCTTTCATCCGATGTAAAATTCGATGCACGCACGGAAGACCCACCTCTGTGGTATCATGACTTTCACTCGAATCCATAGCCCTTCTTGTCGCCGTGTTGTTCACCGAAGTGGAGCTCCGAGTAGCTTCCGATCATACTTCTGTATGATATAGTCCCTCACGGGACTAGATTCGTGTGTATCGCATTGCCACGAACTGTTCCACCACGATCCGCTGCACCATGTCACCTCTTGGTGACATTTCCATTGCATTATGATTCTTATAGGATGAACTCAGATTGTGATCCCTCCATGTGTGGCCTCTACCAATACATCGCAAGGCCTTTTCCACCTTCGATTTTATTCGCTCCTTTGGCAATCAACCTTCGTCCACCCGCTCTTGGGTCACACTCAGATGAAACACAGCTCTGGGACAGTCTGTCGCCTAGTAGCTCCTAAAGTCTATCGACTTCGTTGAAATTGGTGTATCATTGTCTGGATCCTGGGCCTCTGCCCCTATTAGCACAATTTCTGCCGTGCACCGCTTCCTTTTTGGCAACTTGAATGGTAGCACTGTGGCATATTCTTTAAGAGTACCCGCCTCCACGCCCTTTTGCCTCGTGCCAAGGCCTTTTGAATCCAACTTTGCCTCCGCAAGTTGAGTCGTCTTAGTTCCTTCATCAAATGTGTCTCCGAGATAAGGTGTATGTGCTTAGAAGCTCCCTTTGTCTTTGGCACCATACAAGATGAGTCCGCTCCATTAGAATGAAGGACCCATGGAACGACATGATCTCGCTCTTGCCTCTGCAAGAGTTCATGTCCTTGACCTCTGTCCAAGGAAAGCTCTGTGCCTCCGCTCCATGTTCCATTTTCTATGCTGGCTCTCTTTATGCGGCTTGGGTACGTCGCCAAGTTACACCCAAGTTGCTTCGCTCCTCGTTTTGCATTGAGTTGATGGTGGCCTCGCGCCGACCATTCCACGGGTCAGCCATCCATTGAGTTTGATCTCCATATCAACTCCAAGTGTGTCTTCATTTGTGTTGCTTTGGGTCGCTCCCCCACTTGATCTTGCAATGCATCCACCAATGCATTCTCTCAAGCGAGATCATGCGACGACTCATTGTCGCTCGCTTGGTCCATTGAGCTTCGTAGAGTTGTTGTTTTTGAGGTACTCCTTAACATGTGCGGTTCGTTGCACATGATTCTCCCTCTAGAGAGCCGGGACTTATCCCTCTTGAATATACATCCCGTTGGAGCAACATCTCTCTTCGTTTCCTTGCCTCTAAAAGTTTCGGAGATCACTATCCCCTTGGACTACTCTGACTTGTTGAACAAACTATGCATTGTTTTGTCTCCTGTAAACGCACTTGCTAGATTGCGACTCCACGTCAATACAACCTCTGCTGCACCACTCAAGGCCTAGCAACATGCCGAAGAGAAAGTTTCAATGCTCCATGAAGTCGAGTTTCGGTCGTCTTGGGATGACCACAAACATTCCATCGTCCGCATACAAGCCCTTGCATGAGTACCGAATTATTCGAGATAGTAATTTCCCTCACCTCTGTGAGCTTTGCATAACTCTTTTGGTCGCTGAGCAATCCATTCCACCTTGCTGGTCTTATCCTTTACCAAGCGCTTCGCTTGCCTTGAGCACCATCAAGTATGGTTGTCAACGTCGAGCCGTAGCTCGAACTCAGCCATCCCAACTTTGTGCGCTACGTATTCTTACAAGCTTGTTTGTTCTCGTGATGCCTCTTGCGCGAAGGATTGACCATTCCTCTGAATGTCAATCTCAGATGCCTGCTCCTCTGAGCGAATCATTTTCTCTACATCTCTATGCTCGTTTTCTCTCAAACGGTCGCGTGTGCTGGCTGCTCTCAATGCAGCCTCGCTAGGTCCCCTATGTTTACATGCCAAGTGTTTTTATGAGTGCTTGTCCCGCTCTGATATCATCTGTCACGGACTTAGTTGGTTTTGCTTAAGTCGTGTAGCACCCTTGTGTGTCCGTCTGCAAAGGTCAGCCTCCCTGAAACCTCTCATGGTCCCTTAGGACCTACAAAAGAGAAAACGGGTTAGAGAAAGCGTCTCACTTGGGATCCATAAGCAAATATTTCAAAAAACACTTCATAGCCAATACAAATTACAAAAAGACTTTACAAGCTCTGAACGGTTGCACAACAAAGGGTCAAAATGGTTCACTACAGACCGAATATCTCTCACAAGTGTTCACATGACACAATCTTTATTTACAAGCCTAAGACGATCACCAAACCTAACTAAAATGAGGTTGTTAAGCCTTTGACTGTCCCTTTACATGCTGTGCAAAGCATGAACAAACCAAAAGACACGGACATACATAAGCATTACATAAAACATCTTGTTTAGAATTTTGTCCGTGACAGCATGGCCAACCTGCAACCAGTTGTTTTTAGGAACCTCACTGGTGGAAAGATTCAAGTAAAGCATGCAAGCTCAACCATTCCTTGTAGAAAAAATGGAACAATTTATTACCCTTTTAGGCATCACAGGCATTGCTCTAAGTTCAAAAATGGTCCAAGAGACACGAGAAGAAACAGGGACCATTGTTAGGAGTGTTCTTTTCCATCCAAACTTTGGCACTCCTAAAATGCACCAAATGGACTAATGAATGTACATAAAAGCTCATGATCTTGAAAGAGAATTGCATTTCTATATGGAAAGGGGAAATATAAGAACAACTTTTGTTATTCACGGGAAGGGAAGTCCTGCATCCCTTATCATGTTACAAAACAAAAATGCAGGTTTTTTGAATCAACAAGCTCCACATTTAATCTTGCTCGACAGGTCCTGGTACTAGATAAACATTATCCTAGCAAGTGCCTATAGAAGTACAATAAATAGTTTAATCTGTACTTTAATTGAACTATAAATATTGTGATGTGAAAGATAAGTTACTGCCAAAGATTTCTTATATCATCTCATGTCTGTTATATGCACTACTATAGGTGAGAAAGGTATAGGCAAAAGCGGGAAAACTCTTCACTACAAGGGGAGTGCATTTCACAGAATCATACCCAGCTTTATGATTCAAGGAGGTGACTTTACACTTGGAGATGGGAGGGGTGGAGAATCAATCTATGGATCAAAATTTGCTGATGAGAACTTCAAGCTCAAGCACACAGGACCAGGTAAGATGGCAACTATAAATTCCTTTTTCTTGGGTCCATTTGCCAAAAACGTGACCCTGTTATGTTCGTCTATGTGTGTAGGACTTCTGTCGATGGCAAATGCTGGCCCTGATACCAATGGATCTCAGTTTTTCATCACCACTGTAACAACTAGCTGGTATTTGTCACACACCCTAGTTCTCATCCTCTTCTAAGATGTTAGTAATTGCTGAATTTTTGCTTCATTTTTCTCCATAGGTTGGACGGTAAGCATGTCGTCTTTGGGAAAGTCCTATCCGGCATGGATGTGGTGTACAAGATCGAAGCAGAAGGGAGGCAGAACGGTTCACCGAAAAGCAAAGTTGTAATCGCCGACAGCGGTGAACTGCCTCTGTGACACAACTTCGCTCTTCCGCTAATATCCCTATCTACTTGGCGTGCAGCTTCTGATTGATAAGTCTGTTATTGTTCCCGACATTCTGCTTGGACATTACTAGAATTGATTATTACAATGTGCTAAGTTGTGGTTTTCTACAATTTTCATTTTGACTGATCTACTGAATCATATGTCGCCGTCAAATCAATGTGAATCTTTTGATTTTCATTTAGGTCTATGTTGGAATTCTTGGGTGCTAGCAATTATATACATTGGGGTTGTCTGTTTTGGTCAAAATTGTAGTCCTTTAATTAAAAGTCGATACCTATATAAGGTTAAATAAACACATGATAGGTGAGATTTTTGCAAAAACAACCACAATAGTCTGATAAATTACCGAGGAGAAGGTAAAGCGTTTTTATGTTTAGGTCCCTTATGCGAAGTGCGCGGGAAGTCAAAGAGGAGGAAACTTCCAGGAAGATGCGATGATAAGCATACGAATAGGATTACGACACCATGTAGAAGAAGAGGAGGAAGCAGGTAAACGCGAGACCGCCCACCATTTGTCGTTGTCATTGTCGTTGCATTATTCATCGACTACAAAACGAAGTCAAGCGGACAAATGGGTTTGGAAGATTTGCCCTGTTCTTTTTCTTCTTCTTCGCCTAATCAGACGATTCCTTTCGGGATTCCTTTCGCAGCCGATAACATCACTTCCATTAGATTCCTGTTTGATCGGATGCACCTCTCAGTTCCGGCGCCATGAAGAAGTCCGAGTTCTTTAACATCATCAAGGTTCTCTCTCTCTCTCTCTCTCTCTCTCTCTCTCTCCTCCTCCTCCTCCTCCTCCTCCT